GGGTATCAACATACAGAGCTAGGCGATCCAAGTCCTTCAAACCACATTTTAAACATAATCCATTTTCTTCAAAAAAAATCTTTTAAATTTATTTTTATTATATATGTATGAGTATTTTGCCTATATGTATTTAAGTATACTCGTGTTATGCAATGCCTGTGGAGGCCAGAAGAGGGTGTAAGATCCCCTGGAACTGAAGTTACAGATGGTTGGTAGCCTCTGTGTCACTGCTGGGAACTGAACTTAGATCCTCTGCAAGAGCAGCCAGTGCTCTTAACTGCTAAGCCAGCTCTCCAGCCCCATATTCTAATGTCTTAAGAAAACAAAAACAAAAACAAAAAAACCCCTACAATTGTACATTTAAACCTTGGCTGAATAAGTCAAATCTCATGTATTAATTACCAATTTTAAACAAGCGTTGAAAAACTCAAATGGGAAAATCAGTCTCTCAAGAATGAAGATTAGTTTCAGTAAGACATTCCTGTGAGTAACAAACAGGCCAATATTATTCTTAGTTTTGATGTAGAGGCTGATTGAGTAACCTTAGAGACATCAAGTGCACTACTCCACCTCTGTTGGTCTGACAGGAGAGAGCACTATGGCTGACAGGTTTGCTCACCCCACAACTGCTCTTCCTGGCTAAAGAAGTCCAGGCTCAGTTCACGGAACTGGCAGATCCTTTTATTGTAGGGATAGCACACTGCAGTTTCAGGCAATGAAAGTAATAACTGGTTACTTAATGATATAAAAGTCACGGATTCACAATGTACCCTATAAATACACATAGTTATGACAATTAGAAAGTTTTACATCTAACACAAGAGTAATAGTTCTTTATAATGCATAGCTGGTCCTGGTAGGGGTATGGTCTTTATTTTCATAAAGTGATGTTCATCAAGTGATTGTTGTAGGACTGAAGGCAGCTCTGGGGCTAGGGGTATAGCTCAGTGGCAAAGCCCTTGCCTAACTTCCTAGCATGCATGAGAGTGCTGAGTTTGATCTCTAGCACCACACAAAAAGTAAGCTGTTGGTGAGGATACCTTTTTTCTTTTGACACTTTCGTTTTAGAGATGCTAGAACAAGGTCATGATCAATGGAGTGGCTCTACACTTTTAAAGGTCCGTTTAATCTATTTACTTTCACTGAATTTGCTGAAATAAGCACATACATTTTTTGGTATCATAGTCACATGTATTTTCTAATGATCAGTCTTTTTCTTGCCATAAAT